TCTTCTTCTTCTTCTTCTTCTTCTTCTTCTTCTTCTTCTTCTTCTTCTTCTTCTTCTTCTTCTTCTTCTTCTTCTTCTTCTTCTTCTTCTTCTTCTTCTCTTTCCTGGACTTCCAAGGCACAGCTGGGGGAGGAACCAAGGATCAGTGGCCGGACAGATGCCTTTGTTTGCAGAAGGTCTCCATTCCAGTCCTGCAGCTCCAGATTTAGGGGGGTTGGATAGGAGAGCTGGGAAAGCATCGAGATTTGGGGAAGCTGCTTTCGAACAGACCAAGAGGTGTAGGATCTAACTCCGTTTAAGGCAGGCCTGAGGGGACTGCGAGTTCCATAGCTTCTTCAGTGTGACAAAAAGCCTTTTGAGCCCATCACACTTGTTGCATCAGGACGGGTTAGTCTGTCTGTAGCAGTAGAAATCTGTGGCCGGGTAGGAGCTTTCGCGAGTCACAGCTCACTGCTTCAGATACCTTTTATTCGAAGTCCCTTTGGTATAACGTGAAGTCTTCTGCACTTGGTGAGAAAGACGAGGTCTTCTGCTCCTGTGTAAGTTTCCTCGCAGGGTTGATGGATTTCCATTCTGTACGGCTAACTGTGGTGCCTTCCGTGGAAACAGATCAAGGTAGCTCGCCACGTTAGTCCGTCTGCAGCAGTAGAAAAGAGCAAGAGTCCAGTAGCTGCTGAAAGGCTAACAAAATCTGTGGCAGGGGGAGCAGCTTTCCTGAGTCACCGCTCACTTCTTCAGATACCAGCAGGGGTCATTTTCGTAGGAAAAGAGGTGCAGGAGCTCATGAGCATAACTCATTAGCATAACTCGTTTGCATATGCCACACACCACTGACTTCACCGGAGGTGTGTCAGAAGGCAACACCCACCGCTCAGGCTCCACCCCGAAAATCATAGAGCTGATAGGCCACTTTCTACCTTTTTTTTTTAAATCGAAGCTTATATACATAGCCTTACATTAAATCATTGTACAATCATTTTACCCCGCTCCCCCCCTCCCTCCTTTATAGTATCTTCATATTTTTAACCATGTGCACAGATTCTTCATTCGTATTTGGATATTTGGATTGGCTTCCCCCCTTTCCACCCATTCCTTATATCCCACCCATTTATTTGTAATCTTTTGACATTTCTCCTCCCATGTCTCTTCAGTAATTATCTGTGCGAATATATCTGATTGTACGCGTTCAAAGACATAATTATTCCATTTTTCCATTGTCCATTTGTGCCTGTTCCTCCATCCCAATGCTATTACAGCCATCCCGGCTAAAACCATAATTTTATATAACTCCTGTTTATTTCTTTCCACTTTTTTATTTCCTAATATTCCAGAAATAGGCAAGTCCCTATTAATCTCTATATTAACTTGAAATAAATCAAAGATAACCCTTACAATCTTTTGCCAAAATTCCTTAACCACTTTGCATTCCAACCACATATGGGCGTATAGACCTACTTCTTGGCCACAGTGCCAACACTTTGGATTCAAGGCCACTTTCTACCTGAGAAGGAAATTTTGGGGGCAGGGGAGAGACGAGGGAGGGCGCAGCTGCTTCTTCTACTCCCTCCATTCTCGGCAAGTTCTTCGCGCTCGCATGGTAGCCCTCGAGGCATGCGACACGTGCCGCTTCGCGCTCCTGCTGGGAGCTGGGGGTGGGGCTTACCACCGCCTGTGCTTCTAACTGCCGGAGCGCCACTCCTGCCCGCTCCTGCTCGAAATGACCCCTGGATACCGGTATCCGAAGGAGTGAGCAGGGTGACTCACGAGAGCTCATAGCCCTGCCACTCATCTTGCTAGTCTTTCAGGTGTTTTGTTCTAACACAGTGTTTTTCTACATTTGCTGAACCTTGCTGTGTTTCCTGTGTGTTTGTGGCTCGCCTGGAGGTTGGCAACCCTACAAAAAGAGCACTCCACCCTGGAGGCAAAGTGAAGTTGCACCTCCGTGTCCACTCCTTGCCTGGAGTGTCTTACCTGGACCCCCTCTTGTTCTCCCTGGCCAGCTTCCTGGATAGGCTTATATTTAAATCTCTAGCCCCGCCCCCGGAGGCAGGATATAGTCCAGGCTCTTCTGGGTCCTAACTTCCCTCCGTCCTCCCGGAAGCCATTGGGACGGCATGGGCTCCGTGCCAGGTGGCTGTTTGCCCACCAACCTGACCTCTGTGAAGTCCACAGCTTCTCTGAAAGAGGAATTCCTGCGAGGAAGGAGCCAAAAGTGTTGGACAGAGTGTCGGACTGGATGGGCCATTGGCCTGATTCAGCATTGGCTTCTCTTATGTTCTTATTTTCTTAAAAGATGGATTCTTCTTGACCTTGGCTACAATCCCTGGACTCTTTCCAGGGTGTTGTGGTCCGCCACAGAGCATGACTTTTTACATTGTAAACAAGCCAAGCTAAGAGGAACTCTGGCATGCCGCCATATAACTTCATGGCCTACAACAAAATTATTATTACCACCACCACCACCCCCACAGACAAAGATACCTTGAGAACTCTTGCCCTTAAAAATGGTGCGGGCAGTACAGACATCAGGCACGGCTAACTGCTTCATGAACACGCTGCCCAGGATTTCGCTTCTGGTCTCCGAGCTGGCCCAACAACCAGTTCTGTCCCACCAGTTACCTTCCCCCCAAAGGCACAAAGACCCCTAAGGCATGTTCCTGAGAATGGAGGGGGTGGGTGGTCCCTGGTACACATCTTCCCTTCCTTCCTTCCTTCCTTCCTTCCTTCCTTCCTTCCTTCCTTCCTTCCTTCCTTCCTCCCTCCCTCCCTCCCTCC